TAATTACACTGTTTTTAAAGTTATTTGCTTATATTTTGCTTTGTAACAATTTTATACACTATAAAATTTCCATTTCTATTTAATAGTCAGAAATACCTAAAAAGTAAATGTATAGTGTGAATTTTCACTATATATCATGTAAAAAACACAAATTTTTCGATTTTACAAAGTTCAATGTGCGAAAATTACGTTTTATGTTATAATTTCGATATATAGTGAACACTAAGGCGAAGTTGTTTTCAACAAAAAATGGCGTTGGTCAAAGATAGTGTGATAAAGTATATGCCTACGATTGAACATTTATTTTTATTTTTTAGAAGTTCCTACTAAGTATATCGATATAATTACATATATTATGTCCTTGTTTCTTAAAACTAGTTATTTGATTTTAACATATAGATATTGAATTTCAACATAATTTTAACATATTATAATATTTGAGTTTTTTCTTTTTAGTAAACTTGTTTGGTTTGTTATTTATTACAATTTTAACCATTGAACTTATTTACGTAACTTTTGTTTAATAATTTTTTTGATGTTGTTGTTTAATGACTTTTTTACAGTAAAAATATTTTTCAAATAATAAAATTACCCCCTCCCTCTCCTTACAGTTTCCTACCACTGCTGGCCATGGGTCATCGAAATAGAGGAGAGCACAAAATTATACTTCCACAAATATCGTCCACCTCTGCAACCCTACCCTCAACATCGCACGGAGTGTCCGCTTTCCACCGAGATTAAATTTAGAAAAAATGTTCGTCTTTTTTCCTCCCATAATTTTTCTTATCATTATTACAACAAACACCGTTACAGCCTATAAAAACCCCCGCTGAATATAGACATCCACTATATATTGCCTCATAGAGGGTGTATTTGTCATAGATGCCATGCTTGGCAAGCGGGTTGGCCATCGCAGTTTTTTATTTTTAGTCGTCATTAGGAAGACGCTGCTGCCGATCTCCTGATTTATTTCCCTCTGTCACCTCTAAATTTGAAAGTTTCAAAATTACGTTGTTCCTTCGCACCGCCACCGTACTATTTTCTCCGTCACTCCTGTCACTGATTTAACCAAATAAAATGAACAACGCGCAGTGGCGAAGCTAAGGCTCCAAACTAGGGCAAGCCCAAGATAAAGTTTTGTTGTTTTAGCAGTTTTATAAAAATATACTAATCTTGATCTGTCTCCACTCTTCAGTTTCATATTCAGTGCTGTCGAGGACGTGTTTAACAAGGCACACAGAAGGCATACTACTGCTAGATAGATTGTATGACATATCAGCAATTGCATACCTTCGGTGGCTTTGAAAAAAGCCGTTTGGGTTTGCTTGAAAGAAAAAGATATTTACATACATTACAATACATGAACAAAAGAAAAACATGAACAAAGTACAAACAATGTACAAAATTAAAAAAAAAATTATTTTCTCTCAGTCTCTATTTCTTAAGGAAAGATTTGATTACGTCCGCATAAAATGTTGGTGAACGTTTTAATTGTACATATAAATTATTGGCGACACGTCCAAAAAATATTCCATTTCACTAATTTCCTGCCGAGAAATAACTCTTAAAGATTATGAATTGAAAGATTGCTATTCTATTTCAGTAGGTACTTTAATATAATATCGAAATTTTAATATATATCGAACGAAGGTCCGGAGGTCGATTCCGCGGTCGAACGATTGCTTTCTTGAAATTTTGTTTTTTGAGTTAATTTAGAGTCATGAATTACATAGTAATCAGCTGGGTAAATGCGAATGTAAGTTTTGTATTAAATAGATACTTATTTAGTAAAGAATGCATTTAACACTTATACAAACTTAGTTTAATAAAGTAGCAGGTGAAATTTTGTATATTTCCTGGAATTTTGTTGTATAAGCATGTAAATCGCTTGCATCTTTTCCTAGTATTTACAGAATAAATATCTCTTATAATTGTAAAACTACTTTTATTTTTGGGTACATACATTACATTTTCATAAATGTCTTGAGAGGCCTAAGTTAATATATTAATGTCCTTTAATTTTGTTGCAGCTCTCTTACTCTTTAGGCTTTCTCTCTCTCTCTTCTGTAAAACAAATATAATTTCAGCGTCAGCCGCGTGTCCTCAATATAAAAGTAAACAACACAAAATATAAAAGTAGTAGTAGTAGCTATTTCAACACTGATAAGATTTCTAATCTTTTTAACAGCATATGCTTCAGAACTAGGTCTGCTTGCTAGTTTTGATATATGGGGGCTCTATTGAAATTTCGCGTCTAGTGCGATTCCAAGAAAAATGGTGTTATCGACAAGACTCAGTTCCTTCCCATTTGGAGTCATGAATTTCATACATTAGATGCAAATTATTCACATTGATTATTTACATTACATTATTTACTTCGTCAAATTTTAGTCATCGTCAAATTTACATCAGCAAATAATACTATATCATGGTTATCCCCTACTATGTAAGGTAAGTCATTAATGTATACAAGAAATAGCAAGCGGCAAGAGTTGAGGCTTGAGGCACGCCCATTTGTACCATCGACCCGTACTCGTAAAAGCTCATACTGTTAATGACAACTTTTTGCGTTCTGTTACTTTAATGTGAAATAATTAACTTAAAAGCATTACTTCTTACACCGTAGTGTTAAATTTAATTGATTAATGTTTCATGGTGAACACAATCGAAGGCGCTCATGGTGAACACAATTGAAGTCTTGGATAGGTCACAGAATATACCCAAAGCATTCTGTGAGTTCTCCCATGCATTAAAGATATATTTAATCAGCTGAACACTGGCATCATCTGGCAGTGACCCCTTGTGAAACCAAATTAATTTTTATGAATAAATTATTTATATTAAAAAAATATATTTGATCAAGAATATTTTTTTCAAAAATCTTCATTCAATCTTAAAAGTGTTGGTAGTACAGATATAAGTTTAAATTGGCGGGGTCTAATGTACTACCATATAAAATAGTGGTATTACTTTACTATGTTTCATTACATCAGGAAACATACCAGATTCGATACTAGTATTTAAAATAATAGTTAGATGAGGTGCGATTGTATCTATTATAGACGCAATATTTTTAATAGAAAGCCCCACAGCTATGCAGTTTTCTAAATATCAATAATTTTAAAAGAGTTTACAATATCTTTCGATGATACTTTATGAAATGTAAAATTCTTTTTACACGCATTTACATTTTGTCTATGTAATGATTCATCGACAGCAGGAGAAGATTTTTTGAAATGAATTATGATGAAAGAATTAGATGTTTAAGTTTATACTAATAAATTCTTAGTGTTTTTATTTAAGTTTTTATCCCTTATTTCGATCATATTGTGGTCAATTTGTTAATATTATTTCGTCGGATAATAAATAGCAACAGCTTAATCTAAATAAAGAATATGGAAAGAATCAGCTTGAAAGTACAGTGCATTTCACTTATAAAAACGTAGAAAGGATTTCGCACTATATCCGGAACTCGCTCTATCCACAGGTAGAACTGGGGAGAACAGAATACTTGACATTAAGATAGCGTGAAAATATTTGGCAATAAATATTATTATTATAACAGTCATACAATAAGATTAATGTCGAAAATTCTCGCAAATTGATTAGCCTATTCTTGTTACAGTCGACCACTTACGGGAAAGTTTTGGCTTCTTTGATTTTCAAACCACATTAGAAGAGCACTTTCTTTATCTTTATGAGTTGGTGTACGACTTATTTTTGCAGTCAAAGATTTTTTTTCGACGCATTGCATAATTTTAGAGCGGTTTTTCCACATAGTTGTCACTGTAGGATACGAAATATTTGATTCTTTTGAGAAACTAATATTGCTTTCACCATTCTCAACCTTGAAATAATATCTAATTTTTCTTTAATCGTAAACGTTATTCTAACGGGTACCATGATGAACAAACGACCTAACAACAGCTGCCGATCTGGGATTAAGAACAAGAGATAAGAAAGCTTCGTGACTCTATAAATGAACCTTTGTGCATTTGTTTGTTGACTCGTTCATTAAGTACAGACTCGGTCTTACTACTTGATAGAAATTTCAGGAATTTCAAAGTAACGTCGTTATAACCGAAAAGTCGTAAAACAAGTCTTCATTAATGAAATCCACTATTTAATTAAAAATATCCGGCTATGGAAAAAATCTTGTAACAGCCTGCTTATTGGCAGAGAAAGAAGAAAATAAAATTCAAAAGAAAAATTGCGAATATCACTTTAAAGATAAAGAGGCAGTTATATGGAGAATATTAGACGCGTGCTGATACTCAGTATTACTTAGATGATGATAAACGATTTTACAGATATTTGCATTATATGGATGGATCGTGCATGTCTTGTCCGACAACTCATTGTTGTCTACATATAAAAGTAAATACTCCTGAAAGTAAGTAAAAATATATTTCGAAACATGTAAGTGGGTTAATGATGGTGTGATCACCTTGCCACTAATGAATCACTAGAAAAACACTAGCTACTGTAAACAATATTTGTTTTCTTCATTAGAAGAATAGTCCAAACCACCAGTAAGTAGAAAATACAGTAACTTGGCAACATTAGGTAATACTGAGTATCAGCATGCGCCAAACGCTCCACATTATATGACGTCATCAGCATGCCTCTTTCAATATTCGGATACCTACCACATTTTATAAAATAAGGCGCATTCGGTGCAAGTGAAATTTTCTGGGTTATATATAATTTCAAATAACGCACTCTAAAATCCGGCACCTACGGCGCATATGGTGCTGATAAATGTGCGTTCACCTTTAATGAGTGTTTGGTTTAATCTATGTATGTTTCATAAAATCTCATGATGAAGTGAAAAGTCTACAGGTAGTTTTATCGATAAAATGATAAACGACTATTATATTATGCTTGTATATTTATACATGAAAATTAATATTACAATCAAGTCATCCGTGGGTTAATGTGCTGTTTTTAATATTTTTAAAAGATTTATATTTAACAATATAAGTTATATCGGGGAAAAAATGAATACTAGTGATAATCAAGATCATACAATGGAATTTACCGAGAAAGATCCTCTTCAAGAAAATTTTGAACAAACCAAACCAGTAAAAAAAAAGACAGTTAAAGAAACTCTTTTGTATATTTTCAACAATGTGACTGTAGAACCAACAATGTTCTTGTTTGTTTCATCAACACTTTTAACTATGTTGACGTCACAGAACTTCGGTCTTGAAAAAGCCTGTCGCGTTAATCTCAACTTTACAACAGAAATATGTGATTCTCTACGCTCGCAAAATATAGAAAGCCAAAATGAATATGAAAGGGACACACAGAAGTTATTCACATCTATTATGGCTTGGAGGACATACTTGTCCACAGCTATTCCTTGTGCTTTAGCTCTTTTTATTGGGTCATGGTCTGATATAACTGGGCGTAGAAAAGTGTTTATCCTCATACCAATTGCAGGACAAATGCTTGTATGCATCAATGGTTTGTTAAATACATATTTTTTCTACGAACTACGTCTGGAACATTTTGTGTTAATTGAAGGACTTTTAGAAGGTTTTACCGGTGGTTGGTGTATTTCTTTTGTAGCGATATTTTCATATATTAGTGCTATCACAACACATGAAACAAGAACGTTTCGAATGGGGTTAGTACAATTCAGTTTCTCAGTAGGGTTTCCAGTAGGAATGAGCATTAGTGGAATATTCCTCAAAAACTACGGATTTTATGGTTGTTATGGATTGTCATGTGGTTTACACGCTGCAAATTTTATCTACAATTTCATTTATTTAAAAGATACTGCAAAAATTGAGGATCAGAGACAGGTAAACTGAATAAATTTTATTAGATAATAGGTACTAGGGGCGTTCAATAAAAAGTGCGAATAAGTGTGCTACAGGTGCCTGGTAGTGGGAGTGGAAGATATCAACAAGCTCATAGTATCCTAATTTACTCTTAAGAGGCCATAGAGGGACTTGTGAGTCACGGAATTATCTTCGTGGAACAAAACGATATTTTCTAGGTTGCCATGCCATTTCTCGCGGATTTCGTTTCTCATTTTTTATTTCTTCTGTACAAAAAGTGATTTTTTAGACAAAATACTGTGTTAGCTTTATCAGCCAGTATTTACTTGTTTGATTCCTAAAAAAACCATTCTCACTTATTTTTGAACGCTCCTTGTTGTTTATTATAATCTGTTGAAATTAAATTAAATTTTAATATACCCAAGTATGAATTAACTTCATTTTTTTTTTAGTTTATTCAATCGATAAAAATTCATTATGAAAACTATCTCAATCAACTCCATCTATTTTTGCTTAGCATAAATGTATGGTCTTGGATCAAGTTCTTGCGACTTGTGACTACTTGGATGTATACTACCTGCCTAAACAAATGCTACGTGTGCGTTATAACTCACGAAATAGTTATGTCGTAGACGATTATTACATGTTAGGAAAGTTCTATAGGTGACACAGAACACATCTGGAACAAGTGGGTAGCGAGTTTGTTTTTCATATACATTGAGAGACCCTTCCTAGATCATATTTGGCGACGTTAAGTAAGCTGGTTGATATTCGCAATTGATACCTTTATACTTCCTAGCACGGCTATAGAAATTAATTTATTAATACAAATCCTACTTTAAATATAAGACACCATGTATTTGCAAAAAAGGTCCACTTGTAATGTGACAAAAATAGGTACACAATAGGTATGTACTTATATGTATGTATAATAGGTAACAAATTACCATTGGTTATAATATTATTATAAAACTTAAGTATTATCAGCAACGGATATTTTTAATGATTTGCAAATTCACCATGTATTTGCAAAATTATAAACTAAAGGCACACTTGTAATTTGACATACAGTAGGTAGGATTATAATAAGTAACACATAATCATATAGATTATCTTATTATTATAAAACTTGAGTATTATCAGCAACAGATATTCTTAATGAGGTTTTTGATAAGATCAAAAAACAATGTCATCATTATGCCGCAAAAAATACAAAAAGATATTCAATTACATACTTATATAAGAAAGTGTAGTTATACATGGTAGAGTTATGCTGCAACTATAATGGTTATAGCACGAATGGGTTGACTTGACCGGGGAAGAAGTGGTCTTTCCCACCAAATGAGAGCGTGGGCTCTCACAGAATACCTGCGTAATATAGCAACTCAATGCTGCTGTGTTTCGTATGGAGAGTGTAGAGAACCGGAGAGCCTTTTTACTGGAAAAGAGGCATTCCATCTTAGTACTCAGGTTTGACAACGCATCTGTATTTTGATTCTAAATTGAGGATAAATATAGATGTCTATGGCTCACATCATCCACTTACCATTAGATGGACTGCGTGCTCGTTTGTCACACTTAAAGTATAAAAAAATTGTGATAACAACTCGTAACGTGTAAAAGAATATGCATTTAAATTTTGTTTTTGATTAAATAAATTAAAGTTTAATAAAATAATTAAATAAAAGTAAGGTCGGATGCCTCGTAACCAGTAAGAATGATAGTCTCCGGTCCTCATCACATACTACACGAAATATTATTATGCTGCAATTTTGCGGTGGTATTCTGTGAGAACATAGATCTTTACCGTCAAGCCCCAATTTTTGTGCAGTTATCATGACACAGTTGCAGCGTGACCCTTACTATAAATGTTAACTTCGCAGCTTTGTGTTCAAAATAAATAATTACGTTATCGCGGATACTCTGTTCATACCCAAACGAAAAAAAAACTTATATTTTATTTTATTGTATAATTTGGAGCAAAAGTTCGATTCATCACTGTATGGTATTTTATATTGGTCCACAGATGTAACTCTTAAACATTTAATGCTTCATAGTTTGAAAATAATTATCGTACACCTATACCACTTATCATCAGACGGATTTTTAGCTGTCGCTTTAATATTATTAAAATTCACACGTACTCGTATTATGAAGAATCTCAAATACACATTAAATTACATAATAATTTTACATTGTACTTCTGGCATTTTTTTTATTAATAAGTAGTTATAATGAAATTACTGAAAATAGGTTTAATATACCTATAAGCTGTAGTAAAGATGAAGATTAATGAATCGCTAACAAGAACGATATTATAAGTGAAACTGATATATTTCACGATTAACCAAAAATAATAATATATTTTAATATTTCAGGTAAACGTCGAGGGCTTCCGTAACTTTTTCCGCGCATTTTTTGATCTTACAAATGTAAAAGAAACATTTAAAACGATATTCAAACAGGGTTCTAACAAAAGGAGAGTGCGAATTATCATTCTGCTAGTTGTGGTTGCTATATTGTTTGGTCCTGTTCATGGTAAAAATATTACTATAACTCAACTTTTATTATAAATATTTATTTTATCTTTTTAAATCCCGCCTATAATTAGCACTTTCTTATTTTTTTTTAAATATTTGTAAACTATTAAAATGAAAGTAATTTTATATAAACTATATTAAAATTTTAATATCTATTTCGTTCCAGATATATTATGATAATTATATTTTATGAAGTGAGTAATAAATTCAGTTAATTACATATTTATTTATGCTCAATTTTATTTTAGGTGAAATAGCAGTTCTATACATATCTACTAGATACAGATTCAACTGGGACGAAGTCAAATTCAGCATTTTTCAAACTTATAATTTTGTGGCCCATACTATTGGTAAGTTTTATTAATATAATATTATGTTGTGGTTAACAAAACTATTATTATAACAGTAAATAGTAATAAAACATTAATAATGTCAGATAATACATAAGTATAAATAATAAAAACTCACTCTTATAAATCTTTAAAAAAAACGGGAACCTTATCAAATAACCAATTTTATTGTTATTATCTAGAATTTTTGATAATTTTAGGTAGTCTCAGTATTTTGTAAATTATAAATTAACAAGGAATAGTTTTCGTTAGATTTAACATAACAATTAATGAGAAATAAAATTCAAAGTTCACAGCGCTAGTAGTGTAAAAATTAAACACGTTTTTTGTTTGTTTTTCCTTAAATAAAGTAAAAGCCAAGTAAAAGCTTATTATGGAGTGTGAGCAACCATCTAACGGTCGTCCGAACAGGGGATGGCAGCCCCAACTCTGACAGCAAACCTCTTATCGTTCGGTGTTCTGAGCGGTGTGAACCACCCAGGAACGCAGTTGTTACATCTCTACACCGCGTACATACCATATTATGTACGCGGTGTAGAGGGGTTCGCGGCGCGCCCGTCTGGGAACTCGCTATGTCCCATCCGTTGTCCCATCGGTGTTGGTGACACTATGTGAGTGTGTAGTGTTGGTGTGAGATGGGGAGGCGACATGTGGGTCGCCGGAATCTAGCGAAACTGGAGGAGCAATTATAACATGTTACTGGGCCTCCGGTGACCTCACTAACGTTTGGAGTAGCGTAGGTGGCTGCGTTTACTACTAGCGGTCAACAAATTTGTTACTGCTTAAAACTTAACAGAGCTCCCACCTTAAGGCGTGATTTCTTCTAAACATGCCTCTGCAAAACGTTCTCCTCGTCTTTGTAGCACTCGCCGACGTCGTATTTCACTGTACAAAGATATCCTGGCTTCAATAGTCAGTTGGTAGCTAGTTCAGGAGAACAATCTGCTATACTATTTTCTTTACAAAGTATAATATATTTCCATTTCGTGTGTGTAAAGTTAATAATTCATTCTTAAATAGAGCATTCTATATAAGAACATAATAAGCCTTTGATTTGGGCCAAAATAAATTCAATAGCATTATAATGGCAGTGGTATGGTGGTAGTCTTGTGATATTCGCAGGAATATTTTGTAAAAGGGTTGTAAACCACTCTTTTCCGCCGATTTCAAAAACGAGATGGTACTCAATTCGACTGTATGTTCTTTTTTTCTTTTGGAACGAAGTCCCTTATCGGACGGTACGTATTTGGCGGATGGGGGCTAGGCGAGAAAAAGTGTAAGATTTTTCCGTCACGGCCCCTTCTGACGTAGTGTTTATTTTAATAGATGCTAGTAATTCACTTATTTGTATATGTTAATCAATAATATAGGTAATACGTTTATAAATAATAAAGAACTACGAAAAGAACTTCGTTCCAACCGAGTATTCCACGACACTCACGCACGTTTTTTTATGTGTGTTACATTATAACTTTTATCTGGATGAACCGATTTCGATGATTTTTTTTATTTGAAAGCTGGTGTTTCTCATGTAGTCCCATATAAATTTGATCAAGGTCTGACTAATACAATTTGACGGCTCCGTGGCGCAGTGGCTTAGCAATGAGTTATTGCGCTGGAGGCCGCGGGTTCGAATGCCGCACGGAACAAGTATTTGTATGGCCTACAAATAATTGTTCCGGGTCTGGATGTTTGTCCTCGTGCAATTTATGTTTGTAAACTGCCTTCACGATACAGGAGAAAATCATAGGGGGTCACGTTTTTTAAGCGTACAACAGTAATAGTTTTTGAGTTATTCTTAATAATTTAAGAATTTGAAGTCGGTTGTACAAAATTTTTAATTTTAAATTATAATCATTCTGCATCCATTTCCTCATTGTATTCTCTTGTACTCTTCGATTGGAAAGCTAATAAACAATTTTCTACAAATCTTCCTCCAGCGGATCCCGCATCATCTTTTCCCATGGGTACCTTCGAGCAAAATGCTGCAGTGTCATCGTTTCATCAACGAATATGACGTTGTCCCAATTGGTTATATTTTTCATTGCTCTTAAAAAATGTTATGTTATTAATGAGGCTATGTCATTCCTCTCCATAATTATTTTGCGTTTATCATTTTTCTATATTGGAAGCTCAAATGCGTTTTAAAATGGTTCTCAAAGACTACCATTGCATAAACCGCCATGTACTAAATTTTCTTGCAACTAAGCCGCAGTAGGATATTCTTATTGAGATAATGTCACAAATAGTAATATGAGATATTATTATATTGTATATATTGTTTATGATATTTCTATGTATATTACTTGTCAAGGTTAACGAATATAAGAGAATCAGTCAAAAATGTTATAACCGAGTCACAAAATAAGGTAAACACAAAATCACAAAAGTATGCACAGCAAGCTCCCAAAATGGCGGGAGATTCGAATTACGTAGTTTTTTTTTCACCGCGGCTTTGCATATGAATTTCTTTGCCTACACTAGTTTACAATGACAAAGTAGGAAGTTATAAAATAAATAAACTTGTTTAATTTGTGATTCATATAATTTAAGCAATTCTAAAACTAAAATTTAAATAAACAAATAAAAAATTAAATCATTTCAACGCCTACTATTTTACTACACATTCGTAAGTGTCGGTCGGTCGGCAAAAACGTTGTGTTTTGAAGCTGCGTAGTAATTGCCCATAAATCACATTCAATTTGGGATGATTTCAAATAAAAGTAGAAACCTTATTTACTCGTATTTTCAAAAACTGCATTAACGGTTTATCATTATTGATATATTTGAACTTAAGTTTAAAATTTGGCTACTCTTTGAAAAATAACCCTGCATATGTAAATTGTACTTCTTTTTCATCGTAATCGCTTTTTAAGCTCATACACCTTGAATAGCGTTTTATATGTTTATTAATTCCCTTGAAAAATAAAAGCTTAATCCTGGGACTCGAAAAAGGCCTCTACAGCACACATCACCTCATCGTTGCCATCGAATTTTATACCACGCAAGTGCTTTTTCAGGTGAGTAAAAAGGTGAAAGTCACTTGGATCCAGATCCGGAGAATATGGTGGGTGCTGCATCAACTGGAACTCAGCAGTTCGAATGGCAGCGCCTGCCACATGAGATCGATAGGCGCAATAGACCTCGAAGTTTATTATTTAGTTTTGTTGATTAGTAACGCATAATAATCTCCGGTTATTGTCTTTCCTTTATTTTAATAGTCTATCATTACTATACCTTCTGCATCCCAGAAGACAGAGGTCATTCTTTTTCCAGCGGAAGCGAACACCTTGAATCTTTTGGCTAACGGGGAAGACGATCTTAGGTTTTTTTAGATCTTAGGAGCGCAAAAATAATCTGAATCTTCTTTAATTATTGCAAAATTTAGCTTTGAAATGTCAAACTTGGCTTATTTAAGGTATAAGTTAAAATATACTGAATTCTTCTAAACGAAAGCTTTAAAATCTCAGCTAAATGACGGATTCTAACACGTCGATCTACCTCAAAAATTTATTCTATTTTTTTAACGTTTTCTTGCGCAGCGTTTTTCCACTTTGCATACAAATTAAATTACTGCCAAAAGAGAAGTCTGAAAAAACAATTGGGTATAGTTTTTCATTTGATATTTTCTGACCTTGTCTGCTAACGAATAAAAGATCCAAAAAAAAAATAGAACGCATTTCTATAACTCACTGATAAGTTTCCTATTCTGAAAATTTATTGATCAACCTAGTATTTGAAAAAAAAATTTTAACTTATGTATTAAGAGAATAAAATGTAAAAGGAATTTAGTTATGGGTTAACAATAAATTCCATTTATAAAAAAAAAATTAACTTCTTTTCTTGGTTAAATGATGTTTCTTTTGACATTTTCGTATTATAAAGTTGAAATCATTAAAATCCTTTATTAATAATTTTTTTTTCATCGGTTAAAATATAGAAACGACATGTATTTCATGTCCATATTCAAGGTTATTTTTCAAATAGTCAATCAATCAATCAATAATTTATTAATTCATAAGCATGGGTATTACAGGATATCACATACAAAATTATTATTAGGTACAGCCATGTTTCACCTTAGAGGTATATGAACATAATTAAAGTAATTTTTACATTTTGTCATCAAAAAATATTCTTATATGAGCGCTGTTTTAAATATGTTGACATCGTTAATTAATCAGATATTTAATGGGATTTTATCATGGATTTTGGTGCCATGCAATTTACACACATTCTTCGAAAAATGGTTTTGCATTTGTGGTTAACTTTCAATGTGCCTTCAGGACGACTTCCAGCAGTATTCATATCAAAATAAATTGGGTTACTTCGAACAAAGTTTGCAACCTCATATACACTGCAGAGTTAGAATTTTATATTTGCGAAAGTACGGTTCACATGAATCATCCTGATTTAGACTGAACATTGATCTAACGCACACACTTTTTTGCACTTAAAGGACACTTTGTTTTTCAGTAGTGTTGGCCTAAAACATTATTCCATACCTTAAGTTTGATGCACCATATCCGTGACAGGCTGTTAGGAGAGTTTTAACACTGGCAACCTTCCTTAGTTTATAAAGGGCATACGAGAATTGATTTAGTTTTTTAATTAGATTATCAATATGAGGTTTCCATGTCAGCTAATTATCTATAGTCAAACCCAAAAATTTTGTAGTGTCTACCACTTTAATTGAATTCCCAGAGTAGTTAATGTTAAATTTTAAAGGATAATTATTTCTTTGTTTGAAGTTGTTATGTATGAATATGTGTTTTTGTCAAATTAATTGTCAGGTTATTTAATGTCAGCCATTTGAACAAAGATGTCAATGTATTGTTAATGTCAATATTTATTTTATTTTCATTATCATAAGTAAATAAAACAGTACTATCGTCAGCAAAAATAGTCATGTGATGGTTGATTACATTAGAAAAGACATTTATATAGATAGTAAAAAAGAGAGGGCCCAATACACTTCCCTGTGGTACTCCATAGTTTACTTTGGTTATATATAGCTTTAGGACGTTGCCTCTTATACCATACCTTTCTAGTTTATTAAGTAATGTTTTGATTAATATTGTCAAATGCTTTGGTCATATCCGTAACTAGTGCTAGTGTAGGCTTTCAGTTGTTAACGTTTTTACGACACTTTCCAAAAACTAGTATATAGACATACTAATGCATTTATCTTTTCGAAAGCCGTATTGATGCTTCGAAAATAGATTATCGGTTAATGTATTCTATTAACTTAGAAAATATTGATATAAGTGAAATAGGACGATAGTTTTTAACAGCTTCTAGTTATCCTTTTTGAATATTGGAAATGTAATTGCCAATTTCAATATATCTGAAATATTCCCTGTTCTAAACATAAATTTATAATGTAGCACGAGATTTGAGCTATTATAGTCCCAACTGTTTTAATATTTTATTAAAACAGTTGGTAAAAGTATTAGTATTTTATTATAAATTAATAGATTTAATAACATCTAAGGGAATGATTGGGAACAAAAAAGTTGAGTTACAATGACTATGTGGAATAGAAGTAGGTTCTGGCTTGTCCTTATCGACTGTTTCCGATGAGTTTGTAAAAAAGTCGCTAAATGCGTTCGCAATTTCTGTCGGTTCAGTTACCTCTTTATCGTTACTTTATATACTGTTAATCTGTTCCTTAGGAAGGCTGCTATTATACTTATTAATTATCTTCCACCTTGATTGGGACTTATTTTTTGACTTAGCTACATAATGGTCATTCTGTGCCTTTTGAGTAAAAGTAATTATACCGTCAGTTAGTGAAAATTAATTAATTTGTTGGTGATGGAGATATTTCCACAGGAGTTTACAATGCTTTTTACTAGATAATTTAGTGCCATTTGAAATCCATTTCGGTTTGTTCAAAGTAGAGATTTTTACTCTGATTTCTGGAAAACATAAGTTGTAAAAAAGTGTTTAATGGTCGTGAAAGGAGTTGAAAGCTTTATTTGGACAGCTTATTTTATATGCTTCCCTGAAACTTAGACTTTTGATGCAGTCTATAAATTTCCTTATATTATCAAGAGAAAAATCTCGATGGTAAGTATACCAGTATTTTAGCCGACATGTCTTAATAGTTTGAGCAGAGTGATCGGACATTGTCAATTCTATGATATTTCCTTTTAGCCAAATTTTAAACTTAAGTTCAAATATATAAATAATCACATACCGCTTCTACTTTTATTTGAAAGTATCCCGAATTGAATGTGATTTATGGGCAACAACGTTTTTACCTACCGATCTACTATTGCGAATGTATGCGTGTGCAGTAAAATCAGTTAAAATTATGCATTATCACGCATTTTGAATATAAAAGATAAGGACAGAATGTTTGAAAAATTTTTTTTCACCTTTTGCCTATATTAGTGTTATTCTTTTTGCCTATATTAGTGTTATTAGTGAATCCATGGAGTGCTTCAAAATTTGACGTTGTTGTACCAATATAGAAAATATTAAAAAATGTAGATACCTATATTTGTTAATATTTAAGGCCAGAGTTATATGCTTTTGTTAATTATCTTCGGCTAAATCATCACTAACCATCATGTAGAATAATTGAGAATTAACATATAATAATTAAAAATTTATTCTAATGCGAATTTTTTTATGGATAAATAATTTAATAGACATTTAGTTTGAAAATGGGTTGTACACTAGATATAGAAAAAAACCTTTACTTTCAGGAACTGTATTCTCGTTAGCCGTGTTTAATAAATATTTAGGATGGCACGATTCCGTTCTGGGGATCATTTCCTGTTTAAGCAAAATTTTGGGATCTTTTGTATATTGTTTTGCACTCAACGAGAAGATATTTTTCCTCGGTAAGTTATTTCAATGTTTAATTTAATTAATAAAGTAAGTTATATTTATTGAATAAGCAGCTTTAAGCGGTACTTATAATATACTTACATAAATTATTTTTTTCAATGTGACTGACATTGTTTTATAGTCACCTAACGAATCAACACAATAATTAGTTTATGTTGTAGTTTTTATATCCAAATACGTATACATACTATTTATTTCTTCTAATTTTTTTTCGGTTCATAATTTGAATATTTTAGCGAAGCTGCTAGATTACCTAATGTCGGAGACATATTGCCTGATGAGGAAGCCGTGCCGACCCTGCCAATTATCGGCCAATTTCAATTACCTCCATACTCTGCAAGATTATGTAACGTATACTGAACGCCTGCTTAATAGTATACCTAGAACAGAATGACCTCCTTTCCTTGGGTTTCACCGAAATCTGTCAGCTGGGAACCTTCTAGCGTATGCCACACACGTATGGGGCGAGGCACTCGAGGACAGTGGGGAAGCACTTCCAGTTTCCTCTAATGTCTGAAATGCCTTTGACAGAGTTTTGCACGCTAAACTTTTGGGTTGGCTTCCAGCGTACGGCTTAACTCCTGGTCTGAATGACTGGGTAAAGTACTTTCTGAGTAAACTGTCTCTTCGGGCCGTCGTCGATGACTGCTCATCCGATCCTGTGGCGGCTAACGCCGGTGTTCCTCAGGGGTCCGTTCTCTACGCAACTCTTTTCTTGTTGCATATTAATGATCTGCTTATGTCCGATATAATGGGCATGCAGACGGTAGCACAGTTGTGGAGAGATACCTACCAGTTGGAATCAAAGCCAGTTCGAAAGAGAAGCTATAGTAGAGCGTGTGAATCTCATACTACAAGCAGTCTCCGAATGGGGTGATGCTAATCTTGTGAAATTCAACGCACAAAACACAAGCGTGTCTCTTCACTGCAAAAAGAGCCAGCTTACCTTGGCTCATTCTTTCCGAAATGTATAACTGGAATACATCGAACGCCTTAAGTTATTGGGGGTTGAGATATCTTCAAATATGAACTTCGGGCGGTTCATTGAGTCCAAGGCCAAATCAGCTGGAATGAAACTAGGAGTACTTGCAGAAGTGCGATGATACTTCACAGCTGCTTAATTTATATAAAGTGCAAGTCCGGTAGTGCATAGCGTATTGCTGCCATATATGGGCTGATGCTGAAAAATGCTACCTATCAGCTTTGTACTCAATGGAGAGGCGTGCTAAGAGGTTTATTGGTGACCCGAATATGGTTAAAACAAATTTTAATAGGCTCGAACACAGGCGTAAAATAGACAGCCTTTCAGTTTTTTTACAGGATGAATTTCGGAGAGTGTGCACATGAAGTGCATAATTTAATTCCTCCCTCTCCTTTCCAACATCGGACGACCAGACGTTTGGCCAGTGTCCACCCTTTCGTTGTTGACTTACCACAAATTCTAACCAAACGGCTTACTACATCATTCATCATGTGTAAAGCAAAGGAGTGGAATAAGTTGCCAGTATGTGTGTTTCCATCCGATTACAATGTGGGTGTCTTCAAGGCAAGATTGAATAGGCTCTTATTAAGTCAGTGCACTTCACCATCTTAGGCTACATCACCACTTACCACTAGGTGTGATTGTAACTAAACATTGGCTTAGAATAATATAAAAAAAAATATATTTTATCATAATTGCCATGCTTGATAGGCGGATTGGCAGCCGCAGTTTTTTTTTTCATTAATTCAGTTGTTATCATGTAGATGCTCATCTCCTGTTTAATTTTCCTCTGTCGTCTCTTACGACAGCCACGGGAGGATAGGGGTTACTTTATTCTATTAAGCCGTTACAACTACTTTTTACTTACTTATTTATAGCCACATATTCCAAAACTCGTACAGCGATGGAATCATATCCCTTTTACTCTCAGGTTGGTCCAACTTATGAAAATATTTCGGAGGTACTTTTTACCGATCTTATATTACCTCAGTAGGTATGGGCTATTTTAAGAAGAATGCAATTTACCCCTTTTCTTTAAGGGTTTTGATAGAAATGAAACTGAAAATCATAAATGCGAATGGGGGCTTTACATAATGCGTTATCTGCAGTCATACCAAATTCCACGGCAGCTGAATATTGGTGTCGTACTTTCAGACACGACCACGAAAGATTTCTGTATTTTTTTCGATACCTATTCAAGAGAAAATATTACTATTTTAGAAAGAGACAGTCTACAATATAGAAATAGAGAGATAGTTTCGAAAAAATCAATATGTACCCAAAATTATTGCTCGCAAAAAATCAGTTTAAAACTCTTGAAATTTTTCCTAAAACTGTATACATTTTGAGTACATTTATTTTCCATGATTTGTACAGAAGTAATTTCACGTGGTCATGCCAAAAAGCTTCTATCTGATACATCCAACGCCTCAATGCTGGAATATCGAAACTATAAGAGTACATTTTTTTTGTACAAAGTACATGCAAGTGTTATTTTTTTATTTTAAATTGATTATTTTTTTATTTTTATTAAAAAATAAAGAAATACTCCGTGGTTCCGACTTTACGGAATTAAAAAGTAAAATTAAACGCGATAAAATCTGTAAAAAGTAGATTCATTTTATGTGTAGTCTTCGCGTAAATATAAGAAATCATTAAGAATCCCGGGTCATTAATACAACTTTTTAAAAAAATGATACAACAGGCACAATCGCAGCAACGCCTCTTTGATATTATGCTACTCGTAGTACAATATCAATTTTTTTCGCTGTGTAATATTTTCATTAATTGTTCTAATTTTCAGTTTAATATATGTTTCAGCACCATTGGTTGACATTCTGAATGGGACATCACTGTTGGCTTTTAGGTCAATACTTTTAAAATTGGTATCACTCGATGAATTGGGTAAATAAAATTAATGTATTATAAAATAAATTATTATAAGAACCACATAACCTTTGATTGTCCTCATCTAACTTCGCCATCTGTAGGAGGGTATAAAATTCTTTGAGCATTTCTATTACTTGAACTATAATATATCTATGAATGCGATGGGGTGATAACAAATACTCTATCCTCGATTAAGAGTCAATACTCTGCCTCTTTACCGTTAAGAAAGTCTCCAAGTCTCGTCACAACACAGCAGAATTATGCTGCTTTTTTACGCTGGTATAGTGAACATGGAGCATGGTCTTTCCCCAGATGATTGATGCAGTGCTGTAGCCATAACACGCTGCAACAAGTCTCTACAACTTTGAATATTCTTTTTTAATTGCCAATATAATGATAATGAAAAAAAATGTTTCACTTACACTTCAATTAAATGCGAATATCTTGCAGTTTCCTTATTTTATTCAAAGAAATAAATATTAGTGGAAAGCCGATTTCATGCATCTTTTTTACCACTGCTGATCTACCCTTCCGAACACGCACCAACTGGTATAAGTAAGGGCACGAAATTCTAGCGGTGACCGTTATTGCGCATAAGTCGATAATAAGGTATCATGAGATAGTAAGTGGGTCGCGGAGCGGGCGTGCGTCGTTTGCACGCGCTGATTGGCGCTCCAATTACATTCGTGCAATTCAATTCGTGCGCGACAGTACCCATGTGCAGCTATCTACTCCACGTTTCGTTTAGCGCTAGACTTACGTGCCGCAACTTGTACTACTGTGTGATTTAGTGACGAAAAGTCATTACAATTTACTTATTTGTTTGTATATTTGTCAAAACTCATAAGAACAATTGGATTTAGGAATAGGATGTTATTACGATTTTTGTTATATTAATATATAAATATACATTTGTTATTATGATTTCTGATACAATAATATAACAAATAAGCTGGGAACCCATTTGATAGGGTGTTGAGTCTGCAGTCAACGGATACACCAAACCAAAAGAACTCTTAGGCAAAAAAGAACCAAATATATCATTAAAATATTTTAACGTTCTTATTTCAGGTAAAGTTAACTCAATATTTGAATTAACTGAAAATCTAATGCCTCTGGTCTATGTCCCGCTGTATATAAAAACGTATGCTGCAACTATGGAGGTACTGCCGGGAGCAGTATTCCTGTTAGGAGCTTCTATGAATCTTCCAGCTATATGTGCATTCATGTAAGTGCCATCATTTTACAATCTTAATCCAGTCAAATATATTATATAAAAAAAAAACCCGAAGAAGTGAACATCTCAAACGCAATTTTGTATTTTGCGGTCGCTATTATTATTTTTATTCCGTGGTGGTGTAAGAATATCCACTATCCATATCGTACCTGGAGTGCCGTAAAGGGCGATCGAGAAAAACACACACTCACAGTAGTTTTTTTCCTAATAATAATAAAAAAAATTAAAACCTGCGGTGAATAAATCGCCGCTGGTTTTGCAACGCCTATGTTAACCAATTGTGTTTGATAGTCTCTGATGAATGAATGAGTTTTAGTATTATAAAAACAAAACCTTCGCACGATTCGGTGGAATAGATAAACACAATATCCTTAACTACATTCCATCCATCCATTTCGTATGCAGAACCCCACATCATATTGACCATTAATTACAGCCCACCACAAGTCCACAGCTGAACAAAGGCCTCTTCAAAGAAATGCCAAAAATCACGGTCCCGATGCATACATTTATACCCAGACACGCTTGAAAAGTGTAACCTTGTTTATGCTGTTGCGTGGGGTAAAACCTTCTTTTTAGCTTTTATTATCTTAAAAATCTTCGTTTCCTTCTCATATGTATATTGTCTCATCTCTTTATTGGCATCATCAATTCTCAATAATTGTAAAATAAACATAAATAAAAAATTAATCATTTCATTTAATTTTCTCAATAAATGAAAAATAAAAATAGTACATGCCGTATAGCTGTGAGTGTGGAAAATCATCATCCTATTAATAGAATCAGGCGTTACTTTGTGGAAATCCATTTTATTAAAGTTGGAAAAATTTACTTTGCCCATATCCGCTTAATAAAAGAAAATGATGTGTCTTACCTAGTTTGAAGAGCACCTCCTGCCCTACCTCAATTGCGCGCACTATCCCCGTCACCACTACACTAGGAAAGACCACCCACACTAATACACGTGTTTCACCTCTACGCGGTCCCTATCTAAGTAAATAGCTAATACTCTTCGATAGAGTGTCGTTTACGTGGCGTTCAAAACAAACAATTATCTTAGACATATCTTTAATAATAAATATAAGTTTGATTTTTGTCAAAATTCGTGTGTTTACAAACTTGTTTGTGACGAATGCCACGCCGTTTACGTGGGTCGGACTAGTCACAAATTCGAGACACTTTATAAAGAGCATTTAGCCACGTACAGGAATTGCAATTGCGATATGTCCCATTTTACTAAAAATCTCTTGGACACTGGTCACAATCTAGCCAACGACCACTGCTTTAAATTCTTACATACTTGTAATAAAGGGTTGCGACTGTGTGTAGTGAAACAGTTAGAGATATAAAAAAATAAATTATAATAATTTTGAACTACTGAATGAACGAAAAAATGTTTCTAGCTCACATCTCTTAAGCATCTTTGTAACCTGCTCTCTAATAAATAACAGCCTCGCATTATGGTCGTTCGTCAACCTCACGGTGATCAGCGGTTGATTGCGTGGTTGGAGGATAGGCGGGCGTTAGGAAAAGGTTTCTTATTAATTTAATGGCAGGCGGCTGCGTACGTCAGATGGTGATTGGTCGCATGTTTGTCACATGACGCAGTCGCTCCCTATGTGGGGAGTGGTTGCGTCGGCGAGTTGTATAAATAGCAGCTGTTTTCGCTCACCGCTCTCTTAGTGGTCAGCCACCGCAGATTCCACTACACCCGAGGATACCTCGTGTGGAGGCGAAACACGTGTCGTATTCTTGTCCGTGGTGTATCATTCCTAGTGTAGTAGTAATGGGAGTAGTGGTGCTGAGATTAGTGGTGACGGGGATAGTGCACGTAATTGATGAAAGGCTAGGGGGGTCTCTTCAAAATAGGTAAGACACTTTATTTTATCGAGTTGATATGAGTAAAGTAAATTTTTCCAACTTTAGCATCACCCTATTTCCTTCCGTGGGTTCTTTTATGGAATATGAGTGACAAACGGGTACATAATCTATCTGATGGTAAGCGAATTCTATGGCCTATAGACATCTACATATATTGTTGACTAAGCGTCAAAATGCGGATGTATTGTCACCCCTGAGAACTGAGATGAAATGCCTCGTTTTCGGTAAAAATTTAAAAATTAAAAAACTCACTATACGAAACACAGCAACATTAAGCTGCTATTTTAAGCTGGTATTCTGTGAGAACGAAGTACTTCTCCGGTTGAGCCGTCGCGGGCGAGCTACAACTATAATATAGCTGCAGCATAGTTCTACTGTGTATAGTAGTGGGTACCTTAAGAGTTAGCTATAGGGAATGCCAGATAAAATCAAATCGTCTGCGATAGATCTCAATTAATTATCTAGACCGGCGACGAAGCCTGGGTAGTCAGCACCTTAACTGCGATTTCCAAGCCAATCATGGCTACTGGCAATTACGGTAATATTTCCTACAATTTTAGACAACCATATACGGCAGTGGATTTGATTATGGAGGGTAAATAAAAGCCGGTCAAATGCGTGAAGGGTACTACCATCGTAAAACAATTTTTTTGTATGGGAGGCCCCTTTAATATTTTATTTACTTTATTGGTTGTTATAGCGACAACAGAATTTTATCGACGACAAAATTTTAACTGTCTACCTATTACGGATCATGAGATACAGCCTGCTGACAGACAGACGGACGGACGGACGGACTGAGGAGGTTTAGTAATAGGGTCCCGTTGATTATCATAACATACATAACATAAACACTCACGCCTATCACCCAGAGGGGTAGGCAGAGATTATGGACTTCCATTTGGCACGATCCTGACACACCTCTCTCGCTTCCTCCACATCCATATACCTACGCATACACGCTCGTCGGTTAAAGGTACTCTTGATTTGGCCCATTTTTAATATATCGCCAATTTGGTCGATAAACTTTTGCCTAGGGCGACCCTTCCCGACTATGCCGTTCACCTGATTATCCTTTATGTACGGAACCCTTAAAGATGTTAGTACCACAAGTGAGTTGCATTTTTTCTTTTTAGCTGGATTTTCTACGAGCACAGAAGAAATTTGAAAAAATCAGTCAGACAAAATAACGCCAGCAGAATACCGTCTCATCAAGAAGCAAGCTAAAAAAGTAACGTTTTAATTATTATTTATTATTATTGATGATAAATATTTTTTTTATATTAAATGCTATGAGAAACATAGTTTTGCGTATTTTTGTATAATTTTTAATGGATAAAGAAAATTAACTACACCTTATAAAGTTAAGTAATCATTTCAATCTTGCTCGAGCAAGGTTGTAATCATCAATACTAAATAAATATTTTATAATAGTAACTCTTTTATTTATTTTACATGCATACATAAACATGAGCAATTAGAATAATAAATACAAATGTCCTTCTCTATTTATTATTGCATTAACTAGGTGTTACGGCCCGCAGCTGCCCCTGCAAAGGTCGCCCTGACTGGGGCCCATAGCAGCCTGCTCGACGGGCAGACACGGTTTGGGCCCAAATGGCCACATGGAAGAATTCCTATCATACTAAACTATATGGGAGAATGCTAGGACAATATAGTACTTACCTGTTTCCGACTCTAAGATCGCACCAAGGCTTGGTCAGGCCGTAAGTGGGTATAAGGTGAATGGCAAGTAGTGTTCAGTGATGTGTAAATGTCTGAGACCTGGACCAGCAGCGGCCGAGTTCCAGATTGCCCCACAATGCTGCATCGCTCCAGTAGGCTCCAACGCTGGACCATTTCTTTCTTCATTGTCACTATTTCAGTCTATTAGCTTCATTGTACATTTAACTAACTTAAACTCGCCTAATTCCACATTCATCGTTGAATCGAACACGTGATACCCGACACAGTACGTACATTAGTTTAAAATTCGACATTCAATGTCCCGGATTCACTTATCACAAAATTATAAATAGGGAACTAACGCGATCTCGTAATGAGTCATACGGTTCAGCGTTAAACACAACTAAGTTCCTTCATTCGACACCAATACTCCACCACGTCGTGAAAAGAATTCAAAATACGCCTCGTTGACACGTAAACTAACAAAGCAACCAACACACAAAAAAGGGCACTTAACGCGACGGCACAATTATAATGATTTCCAGACAATCAACCGGGAGACGCTCTCGACCAAGGAATGTGCGGTTCGAATCCTAGACCATATATCTACTCGGCGAGCGCGTGCACAATTCCGCATCACCCGAACAAGTTAAATATTGCAAAATTCACCTATCCACGTAGCGAAGTAACATGCTCTAAATCTAACTATTTGGACCCTACACGGTCGCGTGAACTTCGGCCGCGATAATCGAGATACGCGGATTCACCGCATCGCGGCCAGCGAGCTACTGCTTCTTCGCCCACGCGTCGAGCCACTGCAAGCCGCCCACGGCTGCCTCACCTGGCGGCGTTTATTTCACCTACATACCATCTGGTGACTCGCCAGCTCGAACGCAATTGGATGGCGTTCAAAATGACCAGGGCATAAACACTAAGACTTAATATGCAGGCAATCGAAGGTGACTCAGCTTTTGCTGTATTTATACATAATATAATGATTCTCTTACGCTTCAAACATACAATTTTCTCCACCTTGAGAACACTGAAGTAGGTGAACTGTTGCATGGCAGTAGAAATATGTAAGGATATTTCTACTGCCATGTAGTAGTTCATAGGTAAGTATTGTCAAGGAATATTTTCTAAAAGTAATGGACGAGCACACAGTCCACGTAATGATTTCTTATATTAACCGATTACTCGAACACTTCACATTTAAATAAAACTAGTTTTTACGTATTTTGTAGCGTATATTAACTTAATTTATATTCCCAACATTTCGAGAAACTATGAAAAAAAATACTATCAGATGTTTTAAATTTGACAACACTATTATATTGCTTTGTAACATTCCCATTTATTTATTTAATTTTTCGTGAGGTATATTTTTAAAGGACGTATTACTGATTATATTGTATTTTTTAAATTTTTCAAAGTAAACAATTAAAATTTCTTATGTCCAATATACGCTAATAAATTCAAAAGAATAAATTATATATTATGTCCTAGGCACGTAAAACTAGTGTTGTATAGTATAAGGTGATGTGTTTTTCCTAGTATAGTGATATTGGTAGTAGTTGTGTTGGGGATTAGTGGCGACGAGGATAATGCACGGAATTGAAGGAATGCGAAAGATACTTTACAAATAAGGTAAGACATCATTTTATTTTACTACGTTTAACATCTTTGATATTGTTACGAGCTTGGGGTTAGAGATAATTAAAAACTGCCGATTGAATTACCAAAATTGACACTTTAATTACACAACACTAATTACAATCTAAAATCACACTAATAATAAAACACAGTTCGCCGTTATTTCGCTTCGAAGTATTCTCTTGTATCGCCAATTCAATACTGCCCCGGTCGTGATCTATACCGGCCTTATATAGGGCCTCAGATAGTTTCCAGAACCTTCTACTGTAGCGACATCTAGAATGTTCGAGTACATATCGGTCCCAAAGTTTCTGGAAGGATCTCGACTCTCCTAGTTCTGCTACTCGACACTAGAGGGCGCTAGTGTAATTAGTGTTGCCATGTACAAGACATTAATAGTGGCGCGCAACACTTTCATTTACTCGACACTAGAGGGCGCTAGTGTAACTAGTGTTGCCATGTACAAGACATTAATAGTGGCGCGCAACACTGCCCCCTCCTAAGACATGCTCGTCCCGAGCATTATTGGCCCCATAATAACGCGCCAGTCGATCCACATGGACAATCTTAGGAGTACCTCTGACACCTTTCTGTATTACCGGATACATCATTGATCCTTGTCACAATCCGGTACGGTCCGTCCCATTAAGCTTGAAGCTTAGGAGATTTCCCTTTGCTGCGAACTGGATTGTGTAAACACACTAGTGAATCTTCATCAATCTTGTTGTTCATTTTGCGGTCATATCGTGTTTTCATCTTCTCAGACGTTTGCTGGCCCGTCTGTCTGACGTGCTCATAAATGTCATTCATTTTGTTCCGCAAGTCATTTGCATAATCGGTTATACTGCGTGGGGCATCAGGTGGTATTCCGGTGATCAGGTCTGCAGGCAGCCGTAATTCTCTCCCAAAGTTTGCGAAAACTGGCGTCACTGATGTACTTTCGTGAACAGCGCTTTGATATGACAACAAAAACGGTGGAATGTGCCTGTCCCAGTCTCGTTGCCGTTTTTCCACAACTTTTGCCAGGTACCTTTCCAATGTCTGATTAAATCGTTCTACCATTCCATCAGATTGTGGGTGGTAAGAAGTTATTCGTGTTTTATGAGTACTCATAACTCTGCAAGTTTCCTGGAATATTTGAGACTCGAAATTCCTTCCTTGATCGCTGTGAATCTCTAAGGGTACTCCAAAACGACAGAAGACTTCATGAACTAGTTTATCTGCAACTGTTGAAGCTTCTTGATTTAGAATGGCGAAGACTTCTGGCCACTTAGTAAAGTAATCCATCACAACCATGAAATACTTGTTACCACTTTCACTTTCCGGAAACGGTCCCGCAACGTCAATGGCTATTCTCTCCCATGGTGCACCAACATTGTATAATTTCAATGCGCCTCCACTACGAATTTGAGGTCCCTTTACAGCCGCACACCTTGTACATTTGCGGCACCAGTCCTCGACATCGTCACGACAGTGGACCCAATAAAACCGTTCTCGGATCTTCAGTAGAGTTCGTTTAACTCCCAGGTGGCCTCCTGAACAACCACTATGGTACAGCTGTAGAACATTCGGTACTTTAGCCTTAGGGACAACCATTTGCAAATAACAACTGTCTCCCCGACCATTTTCCCATTTACGGCACAGGACTCCATCCTGAATCAGCAAGCTGTCCCATTGGGCCCAATAGCTTTTCATGGTAGAACTCATTGCTGAGACGTCGCTCCACTTAGGCTTAGGAGAACTGGCCTTCATCCATTCCAGAATCGGCTTAATGTCCGAATCTTCCTGCTGTGCATGTTGTAGACTGTCCTTCCACTCATTGCTGAGCTGGTCTGTCCTGAGCATCCTCACAGATACCACTTCCTTACCCTCTTGCTTAGTACAATGCTTGCAATCTTCAGGGCAAGGTCTTCTTGACAATGCATCTGCATTGCCATGAGATTTCCCGCTGCGATGTTCGATCACAAAGTCGTATTCCTGCAGTAATTCAATCCATCTCGCAACTTGTCCTTCCAGATTTTTGAACTGCAATAGCCATTTCATTGCAGCATGGTCAGTTCGTAAGTGGAATTTCCGCCCTAGAAGATATTTGCTAAAATGCTGCAAGAACTTTACCACAGCAAGCAATTCCCGTCTTGTGACACAATAGTTCCTTTCCGGCTTTGACAACGACTTGCTGAAGTACGCTATTACAATCTCTTGATCACCATTCCGTTGAGACAACACACCGCCAAGTCCTATATCACTTGCGTCTGTGTCAACTATGAATTCCTTGCCCGCATCAGGGTACCCCAAAATAGGTGTTTTGCACAGACGGTTCTTGAGCTCCTGGAATGCCATATCACAACTTTCATCCCAGCAGAAATGTCGCTTCTCCTCGGTTAGTTTGTGCAGAGGTTTGGCTATATCTGCAAAGTTCTTCACAAATCGCCGATAATAAGAGCACAAACCCAAAAATGCTCTAACCTGTGTCTTGTCTTTTGGAACCGGCCACTCCTTGACAGCGGCAATTTTCTCTGGATCCGTGCGGATACCTTCTTCCGACACTACATACCCCAAAAAACTAACTTGCCGTTTGAATAGTGAGCACTTCTTCGGACTCAACTTGAGGTTGGCACTCTGGATCTTTGTGAGCACACGTTCCAGGTTTTGAAGGTGTTCCTCAAACGTACGGCCTACGATGATGATGTCATCCAAATAGTCCAGACAGGCATCTCCAATTAGCCCGGTAAGTACAAGCTCCATCAACCTTTCAAACGTTGCTGGAGCGTTGCACAATCCAAACGGCATGACTTTAAATTGCCACAAACCCTTTCCTGTGGAGAATGCAGTATTCTCCTTGTCCTTAGGGTCAATTTCAACCTGCCAGTAGCCACTTTTCAGATCCA